CCACCCGAGGGAAAAGGGTAACACCACCTGGGTCTGGGTGCAGTTTCCCCCTCCAGGGGCAAGGGTACCTAGACCTGGGGAGGACGGGGCTGTGGCCCCCCCACACCCTCTAGCAGATCATTACATGAAGGAACCTTTTAAAAACAAGCGTCCATGCTCACAGGTGTACACACGGGTGCTCACACACACAAACTACACCCTTTTTGGCTCCTACCTCAAAGCACACTGTGTGTTGTTGATCTTACGTGCTGCACAATAATGTTTAATATTTACTGTTATATTCCCATAGATCATCGTGATGTTGTTTATTGTGTTGCTCTTTTTTTGCTTGTTTTCTCTTTTCTCTTTCAGCAGGTGATCCAGGTGATTGATATTTGGATTTTCTGTCTGTTTGTTTTGTTGGTTTTTGTTTTTGCCCTTTATCACCGTGAAAATACATTGATGGGTTTTTTTGCACTAATAAAGTTAGTCAATTATATCGTCAGTTATATCATTATTGCAAATTTTCAAATATAGATCATGATAAAACTTTGGCCATATTGCTCTGCCCTAATAACAGCTTATTCAGAGCAGATAACTTTCCGCCTGAGTCAGAGGAGAATGAGAACATTGTGTTTTGTAAAGGCTCCATTTAGTTTCAGAATATTCTGATTTGAATCATCGTGTAAATTAAAACAGAATATATTCATCATGTTTCCAGCACAGTGATGAAAATCTCGGGTCATTTCTTGTGTTAGGTGTTACTCACACAGAGGATCTCAGACTTATCCAGCATGCAGAGCTCGGTGACCGTGTGCTTCCTCCTCCTCGTCTTTCCCGTCAACGCACACGTCGTGAAAAACTTTGGGGTTTGTGCATCAGTGCGTTCATAAAGATGATAAGATGGTTTCTGTGTGTGTTTAAACCTGGTTTCTGCTGCTCTGTTGTGTAGAAGTGCAAGCAATTCTTTTACAACAAGCATGTGCCAAAGTGGACTTCCAATCACGTCCACATCTGCCAGAAGTATAAAGACAGGTAATTTATTTTTATTTTTATTTATTCTGTTAAACTGCAGAGCTGTTACTATTGTGAACTTTACTTTTAAGATTCAGTCTTTCTAATTGACTCTGTGAACCACCAGCTACCACTTTGCCACCCTGTACGACACCACCAACCGCATTCCCGTCTACTCCGCTTATGTAGTTGAGGACAACAAGGAGACAGAGCGGCATGATACCTGGATGGTGGAGCCTCAGGTATACGACAGCTTTGTAAATGAGACCCACTCAGGTTTCTTCCACAGACAGCTGATCCCCGACTTCCTGACAGATGCTAAAGCTTCAGCACACATTTAACATTTCAGTGAAGACTGTAAAAAGTGATGGCAGTACTTTCTGTGTTTAATATTACACACACCAGAATGAGTCGTTTTAATGTAAACAAAGTACTGTGTGTATGTAGATCAGCTGATCTATAGCATGTTTACATCACTTCATGTCGATCTTCTACCTTTAGCTGGTAAATGAGGAGTTTGAAGAGGTGATGATGACAGAGGATTCACTGAAAGAAAAACATCCTAAACTAGACCCGAAGGAAATAGGAACGAAGCAGGCAACAGATGACGACTACAATAAACGTCCTGATGGATACAGCCGAGGTCACCTCAACCCCAGCTCACATCATGCAGGTAAGAGAGGTCGAGCTGTTCTGAGGGGTTTGTCGTGTCTCGTGCACACTCAGTAAGATGTACACGCGTGTTCTCACATGTGGGAGACAGAACACGGTCTCAGGAACATGTACCCGAGAACACAGGAAAGAAGAAGACTTCAAACACAAGACCTTTAAAAATAATTAAACTCTGTTTATGAGGGAAATGTATTCTACACAGCACTTTATCATAACCTGCTACGCTCTCATCCACCCACCAATCACATCCTTCTGTCTCTACATCATTTTCCACAGGTGATTCCCGCATAGCCACCTACACCCTGACCAACATAGTTCCTCAAAACCATGAGCTGAACCAAGGACTGTGGAGTCAACATGAGGCCAAACTCAAACGTTTGGCCAAAGATAACAAAATGAACGTCTACGTTCTGGTCGGTGCGATTCCATCAGAAAGAAACTGGATCAAAAGAGATAACCAGCCAGGTGTCAACATCCCTGAGTACATGTGGGTCGCCTACTGCTACTGTGACAAGAAATCTTGTAAGAGTGGAGGTGCCACAGCTAAGAATGATGAGAACAACATTGACGAGTTCACCCTGTCAGAGCTTCATAACTTTCTTAAAAACCACAAAAAAATTGCAGGCCAGCTGTTTGACAACAAATGCTATGTGGAGTAGGATGCAGGTGCGTCTGCAGCTTGTAGCCGTCTCTGAATCCTTTCCTCAGCACTGCACGCATGAACTCATGTAAACAGTTACTGTGATCTTAACTGTGTCGCACAAATGTCAGCACGTTTATGGTGCAGGTGAACACATGCTGTCATGCTTACAGGCTGCTTTACTGTGAGAGCAGCTTCACTGCAGCTTGTTGCTTATTAAAATCTGATGAAATGCTCAGTGTCGCGTGTTTTTGTTCAGTCAAAATCAGCAAGTGTGACAAACTTCACTGAGCCGATGGAGGCTCTGACCTCAGAGCGCAGACGCCTGATGTTTCTCAGCTGGAACAAACACATTTAACCCCAGAGAGCGAGCAGCAGAGCGAGCAGCAGAGCGAGCAGCAGAGCGACGTGCTCATCAGACCCTCTGCTCTTCATCGCCATCGTGACTGCAGCTGCAGTTTAGGAGCAAACCTCTATTTAACTGTGAAAGGAGGAAGTGTCATTGGGTCAAAGGTCGGCTGTCTCGAAGCGTCTCTCTGAGAGTGGTTCAAATTCATGGGCCCTTTCTCAATATGCGTACTTGTGCGTACTTGCGTTCTCGTGTACTCGTGATACGTCATCAGTCGGAGACCAAGTACTGTTCCAATTCGAAGTACGCATCAAGCCGAGAACGCGAAAAAGTCCCGGATGTGTTCTCGCTCCGCCCGTTTTATCGAGCATGCATCGGTGGTGACTTGTGTGGACTTGGTACAGCTAAATATCCCAGAATGCATTTCGTCCAAAACTCAAACGCGGCAATGGCGGACGAGCGGGGCTAAAAACTTTTAAATATTACTCTTTCTGGGTCACAAAATAAACTTTTAAGTTCTTTTCAAGCGAGAATGTAGTTCTCGGAGACGTCTGTGACCCGCCAGCTCCACAGCAGACAGCGAGGTCGAGGATTATTACAGCCGGCGAGAACAGCGGACTCCCGGCAGTTCGTTTTCAACCCCCCCGCGGTCTTTTCGCTACTCAGGTTAAACAAACCCCAGCAGCTGTCTATTGTATTGAGTGTCCACTACAATAAAAATAAAAGCGTTCTAACATCTCACCTGCTTGTTTTTATTAAGGTATGTACACGTATGTACATTCACACTATTTTTATTAATAGAGATTTCACTACTGAGGTTAAACATGATGTATGAGTCACTTAGATCACTTCTAAATGTTAATGTTTGGTTTATTTCAGTGTTTTATTTCCTGAGTAAACCGGTTTGGCTGTGATTAAAGTTAAGCTTCATAACATATTACTCACAGTTAAATTAAGAGGGCAGTAAAAACTCCGGACCTGTGACATCATCAAGTACGCTGGTGTTCCAAATCGCGAGTCCGTGCTCGCGTTACTTGAGAATTGAGAAAGGGCCATGTACACCTCACAGGTATTAGGCTGATTTAAAGGGTCAAAGGTGAAGCTGACAGCACAAGTGGCACAGACAGGAAGTGACACGTACAGGTAGATCAGCTAAAATGAAACTTGCGGCTCAGGAGCGATCAGGAGCCGTTTCCATGGTTACACTCGGCGCCCTTTCTCACACCTGTGCTGCTTCCTGTTACCTGAATCATTCCAGCGCTTCACGCCGGCGCATCCACTTACTTGCCGTGCAGCGTCCTGTGCTCGCTCTCCAGCGCCCTCTGTTTGCCCTTCAGCGCCGCGTGCTGACTGATCAGCTGCTCGTACTCGTGAGCCTGCCTCTCGTGAACGCTCAGCAGGCGCTCGTGATCGCTGAGCACGCCCTCTCTGGCTCGCCACGCCTCCTCGCGCTGCCGCTGCCACGACTCCACCTCCGTCTCCAGGGCGGTCACCTGGCCTTGCAGCACGGCATTCTGGGCCATGAGAGAGGCGCTCTGAGAGGAGAGGGTGGAGTTCTCCACCTGAGAGGACACAGAGATGAAGCGTGAGCGCGACGGCCCGAGTGTAAACTGGGTCCAAGTTACGCGTGCGTGAGCGTGCCTGCAGCTTCGCCGTCTGCGTGTGCAATGCCGAGTTCTGCTCCTGCAGCGTGGTGGCGTGCCGCTGCAGCGCCGCCATCTGGTTGTTGAGGGAAGTGTTCTGGTTCTCCAGCTGCTTCAGCTGCTCCTTCAGCAGACTGCTCTCCGTCTGCAGGGAGGCGTTCTGGACCGAACAGTTTCACACAAACTCATCAAAGCATTTTTCACGTGCGAGAACATTTCTGCTGAACAGGAAACGTTCCTGCGCTGCTATAATCATTAACAGTGATAACATCATTATTAACGATGATGATCAGAAACAGCGGCTCACGTTCTTCTCCACGTCGATCAGGTGATCTTTGATCCGCAGCAGTTCGGCCGTGGCGCTGCGGTCAGCCGCCGGGTGCTGCTGGAAGTTGTGGTTTACTTCCTCGTGCTGCTGATGCGAGGCGGACGCCGTCTGACGAGCCTGCAGCGGGAAAGAAAAATGACTGTCGCACAGCTTCAAGTTTACCGAGGCGAAGGCGAGGGCGCGTTTCCTCACAGCTTCCAGCTCCGCGTGGAGCGTCTTGTTGAGGGCGCTGCTTTCTTCCAGCTTCTTTTCCAGGCTGCAGATTTTCTCCTCCTTGACCTTCATGGTCCGCTGGACGGTTTCCTCCAGCCGAGACTCCAGCAGCCTGTACCTGCTGACATTCAAACACATCCGTGAGTCGTCAGAGATCCGCTTTAAAGTGCACAGGTGAGGTCGCGGGGTCGTACCTGTCCTCCAGCGTGTGCTCCTGCTGCAGCAGCTTCTCACGGTTCAGTCCGATCTTCTCCAGCTCTTCGTTCAGTCGCTCCAGCTCGACCTTCTGCTGCTGAACGCTCAGCTTCTCCGACACCAGCTCCTGCAAAACCGACACAAACACCGCTGAAGGTCACGGGCGCTCGGCGTCAGGCTCAGAGCGGCCGACGTCGCCGAGGGTCTGCCCGAGCGTCTGCAGAGCGACCAGAACTGAGCATCTGCAGTACAGCTGGGACATATTATACCTTTCACGGTAACACCGGTGTAATGTTGGGCAATGATAAGAGAAGGAAACATCGCGATAGAACAAAACACGCATTCGCGTTGCCTTTGTTTTCATACAAACATGGCGTAAAAAGCACGGCGGTGGAGAACGAGAAGGCAAACAGACGAACCAGAACTGGTTTGTAAAAGTGGAGCAACAGCAGTGATGCGGAACTGGTTTTGTTTTCGTCAGAAAGCCACCAAAGCACAAAGTTTTGTAGAACATGCCAGCGGGCCGTCGTGGTGAAGGGAGGAAACACCACAAACCTGTTTCATCATCTGAAGCAGAAGCGCTTAGAGTTCAACACAGCTGTCAACGAAGAGGCTGCAACCAGCGCGGTGGTGAGACCAGAGAAGCTGACTCAACAAACAGTCGGCTTTAAATAGCTGCAGGCCTTAGCCAACGCTGGGGGAGCGAACTAACGCAGAGACGCATCGTGTAGGATATGATGCCCACTCAGAGTGTGGAGGAGGTTTCACACATTTGCTCTGTGACATGTTTACAGCTGTAATGAAGATAAAACACAGCTGCTTGTTCAAGTGGAAATAAACTGATGATTTTTTTGCACTAATAAAGTTGAGTTGTAAAGTATTTAGTCTCTGGTGAGTTACTGCCCCGCCCACTCTGCAGGTTTCCAAAGAGAATGAACAGCTGACACAAGTTACAGTCTGTTTTAACCACATGCGCGTTTTCAGACTTGCTGATTGGTTGTTCAGGACTCGATGTGGCGCTCACAGGAACCTTCCACGCTGATGCTGCAGAACACCCCAGTGTTCAGTACCTAGCAGTGCAGCGCCCCCTGCTGGCCTTCTGGTGTATATGTCGGTTAAAGCTGACCGAGCGCCTCGTCTTTGATTGAGATTCAGATTTTAATACATTGTTTCCATTTTACTGCTTTTTCTGCAGTTCTGAGAGCAAAGAAACAGATTAACCCTTTAAAGGCCACCACAGACCCAAGTCCACCAGAGCTCACCTTCATATTTTACCTGCTGTCGTTCCATCTTTCAAGCTGCTATACATCAATACAAGTTTTAATAACATGTATGCATTAGGCCCGTAGTAACTGTATACCCTGCCTTTTTGTTTTTACACATATTTACAACCACAGCAAACTGACTGAGTGTGTCTGTAGTTTCATTTTTGAGCTACGCTCACTTTTATAAACTTGAGAAACTCAAACAGTGCAGTTTAAGTTCAAGTCAAACATGCTGCTCTGAAAGGCCCTGTAGGAAAAACTACGTTTCCCACAAGATAAAAATGACGTCACTTCCTGCCACAGTAGGAAGTGCAAGAGCTGATCGGATCTGCAAAGCGTGTTTCTGGATTATGACGTTTCTTACGTGCCTTCTGCAGAGGACGAGCTGAATGCATGTTCTGGAAGTTCGGCTCCTCCGGTCTCATAAAAACATTCCTGATAGCTTATGCGGCTGCATTTCTCCCGGGATTTAAAAGTAGTTACTCGGAGCGTGCGCGCTCTGATGGCAGCCTCGCGGCCTCACAGGCGTCAGCAGCAACGAGGAGACCGACACAGACCCACGAGTGACGCTTCCACAGCTCACCTGCTCAGATCCAAACTCTGTACTAGAATCTAAATAACCCGCCCAGCGGCGCCACGGACACCTGCTTAGACGAAGCTCCTCCCCCTGCCCCTCCTCTCACCTCTCTGAGCGTGGCGAGCGTCCTCTTGTCGATCGTCGCTTGTTTCTGAAGCTCCTTGTTCTCTCGCTCCACCTCCTTTGCTTTCACCGCCGCCTCCTTCATTCGCTCCACCTCCTTCTTGAGAGCTCCTCCCTCCTTCGTGACCTCGGTGAGCCTCCTGGTTTTCTCCTCCAGCTCCGTCTCCTTCCCCTCCAGGAGCGTCCTCATCCTCCAGCTCTCCTTCTCCAGCTGCTTCCGGCCCTTCTCCGACTGCTCCAGGTCCAGCTGGAGCTTCTTCCTCTCCTCGTCTCCTTCCACTCGCCTCCTCCGCTCCTCCTTCAGCTCCTCCATCTCCCTCTTCAGGTCCTCCTCTCTGCTTTCTGCCTCCTGCCGCCTCCTCTCTTCCTCCACCCTCTCCTCTTTGCTCTTCTCCATCTCCTCCTCTATGTGATGCTTCTCCTGGTTCAGAGCTGTCAGGTTCACCTCCAGCCTCTCCGCTCTCTTCCTCTCTCCCTGCGCCTCCTCCCCAGCTTGATCCAGCCTCCTCTGCAGCTCCTGCATCTCCCTCTGCGCCTCCTGGAGCTCCTCTTGCACAGTGGTGAGGCGGGTGGATGAGGAGCGCAGGCTCTCCAGGGAGCAGCGGAGCTCCAGGTTCTCCTTGGACAGCAGCCCGTTTTCAGCCTCCTGCTTCGTCAGCCGCTGCAGCTCCCGCTGGCTCTCCTCCGCCTCCCGCTTCAGCCTGTGCACCTCCTGCTCCAAGGAGGTCACCTGTTTCTCCAGAGCCTCGGAGCGCTCGCTGCACGCCCGCAGAGACGCCACCTGGAGGCGACACGGGCACGTTACACTTACGCCGCAGTGAGACTCGTCAGAGAGGAGGAAGCGTTTACGTACCTCTCTGCTGAGCGCCTCCCGGCTCCTCTCCAGCCGCGCCACCTCTCGCTCCGCCTCCTCACACCGCCCCGCCCGCTCCCTCAGCCTCTCTGCCTCCTCATTGGATACTTTGAGCTGTGTTTCCAGGCTGGCCAATCGGGAGCTGGTGTCGGTGATGCTCTGGTGCAGCAGGCGGTTCTCTGATTCCACCTCGCGGACCCTCGCCACGCTGTTAGACTGAGCGCGCTCCTGAAGGGACGCCACTGCCTCCGACAGGTGCTGCTTCTCGCTCTCCAGCTCTGAGATCTGATTGGACAAGCAGACGTCAGCCGGTCTCCTCTGCGACTGACAGTGAAGGAGATGTTACCTGAGCGTGCCACACACCTGTCGGTCCTTCCCCGCCTTCAGAGCGTGCATCTCGCGCTCCAGACTCTGTTTCTCCTTCAGTAGCTCCTCCCCCAGAGCCTCCATGTCCTGATTGGTTATTTTCTCCTGGTCCAGTAAACCCTGGAGACGCTCCAGCTGGAACAAACACAGGTGTAGCTCTTAGAGACAGGCGAGGCTGAATGATGCTGCAGGACGTTAAAACTGGACAAAAACAGTTAAAAGACGAGTTTGTTGTCAGGGTTTCACGTCGTCATGGTTACTCTGAAAGCTCCCCTGCAGCACAGACGGAAACACAAATACTGGACGAGGTTTGCTGAGTGATGTTCATGTTTGCGTGCACGACTGGTGCACCTGGCGTCAGGTGGAGACACCGGCTTGTGTGTATGAGTTTACTGTAAACCTTGACCGATGAGATCCATGTTTGTTTATTGATCAGCTGTGTTATCAATCAGTAACGTTACATGTATGTGTCTCATATCAGCATCTAGACTAAACGCTGCACGGCTGCAGG